TTAATTTCAAATGCATAAAAGAAACTGCAAAACTGTTATTCTCCAGAGCATTTAAGATCTTGCTCCTCAGTAAATGTCATCAGTTTGGCTCAAATACACTTCGTAAAAATTCTCTACAGCAGTAATTTTCAATCAGTGTGACACAAGACTTTTAAAAACATGCAATACCTGACTATTTTAGTCAGGGGCACTGACCTCCTTTCCCTTATATTGTCAAATTAAAAAATGGTAATAGGCCTGGCTGGGTAGCTCAGTTGGCTGGAGCATTGTCCTGATAGGCCAAGGTTGCAGGGTTGATCCCCGGTCAGGACACATACAAGAATCAAAAACAGCCCAAGTGCCCATCAGTAGATGAGTGGATAAAAAAGCTGTAGGACATTTACACCATGGAATACTACGCAGCTGTAAAGACAAAGAATCTCGTACCCTTTGGGACAGTATGGATGGACCTGGAGAATATTATGCTAAGTGAAATAAGCCAGGCAGCGAAAGACAAATATCACATGATCTCGCTTATACGTGGAATCTAAAGAACTTAATAAACTGATGAACAGAATAGATTCAATGACATGGAAGCATAGATGAGACTGATGAATGTCAGAGGGATGGAGGAGGGCGGGTGGGTGGAGGAGAGAGTTACCAAAGAATTTATGTGCATATATACATAACCCAAGGACACGGACAATGGTGGGGAGAGGGACTGGGGAGGGGGAAGGAACGGGGTGGAATGGGTCATTGGGGAGAAAAAGGGACATCTGTAATATTTTAAACAATAATAATAAAAAAAAAGAATCAACCAACGAATGCATAAATAAGTGGAACAACAAGTTGGTGTTTCTCTTTCTCTCTCTCTAAAAATCAATCAATAAAAGAATTCTTAAGTGACAACAGCCAACACAATACTTGTTCAGTGTGAATGAATTAAAATTATACCTATTCTTTTTTGTCGGATTTACAAAAAATATATTTTTTGGTGTGCTGCAGAATTTTAGTAATTAGTTTATATGTGCCATGAGATGAAAAGGGTTGAAAAATCACTGCTTTACAGGTTTGGACATTTGTTAAATCCACAGCCCTAAGTGGATGGTTTATTGATGTGGGATCCCTGCAGGACACAAATCAACCTTCTGTTAGTACTGTAGACATGAGTGTCCTAGGAATCTTTTTTTTTTTTTTAATCCTCACCCAAGGGTACTTTTTCCATTGCTTTTGAGAGACAGTCGATGGGAGAGACAGAGAGAGAGAAACATCAATGTGAAAAAGACACATCGATTGGTTGCCTCCCAAATGGATCCCAACCAGGGCGGGGGATCAAGCCTGCAACTAAGGTACATGCCCTTGGCTGGAATCAAAACAGGACCCTTCAGTCTGCAGTTCAACACTCTAACCACTGATCCAGGCCAGCTAGGTCTGTTCTAGGAATCTTTAAAATGATCTGGAGGTCTCTGAAAATGAAAATCTGTGAAAATCCCCATTTTCTATCTCTTTGGGTTTTGGCTGAGTTTGCTCTAAATGGATCTGAAAAATGGCTCCACCTATTTTGTTGTTTTAGATTGCTTCAAGTTGGAGGGAGACAGAGGCCATTTAGTTTCTCAAACAGATGCCAAATTGTCAGTGCTTGTTACAAATTCATTTAACAAAAGAACTAAAGTTGACTTTTTTATTGATTTTTTTCCTTAGAAAGAAAGAGTAAGGGGGAGAAAGAGAGAGAAAGAGAAACATTGATTTGTTGTTCCACTTATTTTTTAAAGATATTTAATTGACTTTTAGAGAGGAAGGGAGTGAAATATCAACGCAAGAGGGAAACAGTGATAGGCTGCTTCCTGCACACCTTCCACTGGGGAATGAGCCCGCAACCTGGGCAGGGCATGGGAATTGAACCAGCAACCTTTTGGTGCACGGGATGACCCCAACCAACTGAGCCACACTGGCCACGGCTGTTGTCCCACTTATTTATGCATTCACTGGTTGATTATTGCATATGCCCTTACCAGAGAGGAAACCTGCAACCTTTGCATATCCGGACCATGCTCTAACCAAATGAGTTACCTGGCCAGGGCCAATAGTCAACTTTAATGTGAGAAATATCTCAGACATGTTTCCAATTTAATCAAAATGCTGTTTTCTTCCATTAAATCAATTTCTTTATTATTTCTTCACATTTTTATCCTGTAATATAAAAGACTCTTTAGAAGTTATTTAACTTCATAAAATCATTCAATAATAACAACTTCCATAAGGCTTTTCAATCAAACGTTAAAGAATCACCCAGCTGGGTGGCTCAGTTGGTTGGAGTGCTGTCCTGTACACCAAAAAAGCTGTGGGTCTGATTCCCAGGGAGGGCACATACCTAGGTTTTGGGTTTGATCCCCAGTCAGGGCATGTTTGGGAGGCAGCCGATCAATGTTTCTCTCTCCTCCCCCTTCCTCTCTCTAGGATCAGTAAGCATATCCTTGGATGAGCATTAAAGAAAAGAATAACTTTTTTCTTTTATAGCTTTCTTGTTCACAATAATGCTCAGCAGAAAGCTTCAGGAAATCCAGAATACTACAGAGGAAAATAAACATTACCGATAATTCAGCCAGACTTTTAAATATATATGCATTACATATGGTTTATTTATTTATTTATTTATTTATTCTTTATATATTTATTGATTTCATAGAGAGGAAAGGACAGGGATAGAGAGATAGAAACATCAATGATGAGAGAGTCATTGATGGGCTGCCTCCTGCACGCCCCCAACTGGGGATCGAGCCCACAACTCAGGTATGTGCCCTGACTGGGAATCGAACCCTGATCGCCTAGATCCTGGGTCGACGTTCAACCACTGAGCTACACCCAGCCAGGCAGTATGGTTTTTTAAAAATGAAATAGTTTGCTGATATTTTTAGCATCCTCTTTCACTTAATAATATATTATGAACATCTTTGCATATTAATATAAATATACCACATTACTTTCTTAAAAGACATGGAGGAGGAAGCAGTATTTATAGTACCAAACAGAAATGTCTTTAGGGATTTTTTTAAATTAGGAATAACATACATAAAGTACATAAAGTTGCATGTATATCCCAATAAATTTTTACATATCTATCTTAGTGTGTTTGGGCTGCCATAACCAAATACCAGACTGGGTGGCTTAATTAAATAACAGAAATTCATTTCTCACAGTTATGGAGGCTGGGAAGGCCAAGATCAAGGTGCTGGCAAGGTGTGTATCATTCTGAAGCCTCTTCTCTTTACTTGTAGGTAGTTGCCATCTTGCTGTATGCTCACATGACCTCTTTGTGCTTGTGGGGGGAGAAAGGGGGACAGAGAGAGACCAAAAAAGCTCTTTGGTGTCTCTTCTTATAAGGGCATTAATGCTATCAGATCAGGGTCCACCTTTAGGACCTCATTTAACCTTAATCACTTCCTTAAAGGCCTTATCTGTACAGTCACATTGAGGTTAGCTTCAACATATTAAATTTGGGGGGGGGGGGT